TTCATCGGCATCAGCGACCTGGACCGCGAGGGCACCTTCGTGTACGCCGACCGCTCGCCCATGCAGACCTTCCACAAGTGGCGCGGCGGCGAGCCCAACAACGCCTACGACGACGAGGACTGCGTGGAGATGGAGGCCTCGGGCGGCTGGAACGACGTGGCCTGCCACCTCCCCATGCACTTCCTGTGCGAGTTCGACAAGGAGCACGTGTGAGGTGGGCGGGTCCCGGGCGCAGCTCGGGGGTGACAGGCTGTCTGTGCTGAGCCCAGACGGTGCCGTGTGCGGGGGGCGCAGCGTCTCCCTGTCATGTCACAGCGTCCCGGCTCGCACTGTAGCCAGGCGACTGCTGCTCAGCAGGGCTCGCTCGCTCTAAACTGTAAAGTGCCTCTCCCCACGTCACCGCCGTGAGCCCGGCCCGCGTGACGGCTGCTTCCGGTCGGGGGGAGCCCCTCACTGCCCGTGTCTCTGTAAATGACATAAGCACACTGCCGCCATTTAGCCCAGTAGGGACACCTGTGCTTTCTGCAAACCCCGGTTTCAGGAACGAGGAATAAACTCTCTGCACCAACAGTTGAGTGTGTGTTGTCCTGACCCTCACCCCAGGAGCGAGGGTATTTCCCACTGATTTGGGGTGGGGGTGGGGAGGAGGGCAGGGGGGAGAGAGAAAGTACACCTGTTGGTGGCCTCCCACACACGCCCGGACGGGGCCAGGGATTGAACCTGCAACCCGGGTGCGTGCCCTTGGCCAGGACTCGAACCCGAGACCCTCCCATCTGCAGGCTGACGCCCTGTCCCCTGATGGACACGGGCCAGGCCAGGGCCCTTCTCTGAATTTCTCCAACGGCCGGATTCGTGACCTGTGGCCGGGTCACAGGTTACCCAAGACTTAGCGGCTTTGGGACAAAAATATCCGTGTCCCCTTCCCGCGTTCCGGGCCTGACTGGACTCAGGTCCTCTGGCTGCTGGACAGACGGACGGACGCCTCACCCCTGGCCCGTGGCCTCCCCTCCGGGCAGCGCAGTGAGCCTGGGCCCAGACCCCGCTTGGCGACC